TCAACAAACGATAAGAGACGAAATGATGCAACATTCATCAAAAGGAAACGAATGAAGGGAACGCACGTCGATGATGTGGTAGGATTCGGGGATGGGATCGAAGGTCTGGCGGTAGATCCTGTCGCCACCGCACACGACGTAGATTTCATCGCCTTTAGCAATCGGATAAGACTGAACGGCCTCGATCATCGCGTAATCGGCCGCGTTCTTGCCCGTTGGCTCGATGGGGTGATGTGTCATCCATTTTCTGTTTCCGGGCAGGCCCGTCGGCGGTCCATCCGAGCGGTAGAAGATGTGCACATGAAACAGTTCGCCGGAGCCCTCAGCTGGCTGCTCGGCTCGCTGGTAGTATGTGTCCACCTTCGAGATGGATTTTTTGATGAAATTCTGGCATTTGTTTTCAAAATCGACAAAGAAGACCCTCGTCATCTTCAAGATTGTCCTCCGGCAGCTGAAGAGAATAGGTGAGAAAAAACAGACTAAATCCCTAAAAAGAAATAGTAGATTTATTTAACAATAAAATAGGATGCAACGAGCAGCTAGCAGGCCGTTCGTGTGCCGTAGCTTTGTGGTGCACCACGACCGTTGCGGGCTCAAGGTGGGCACCGACACCATATACTTCGCCGCCTACGCCGCCCAGTCACACGTATGATGCCCGCTCTTTACGCTGCTTCTGCGTGTCGTCCCCCCCCCCACCAATGCGTCTCGTGTGCGGTGGTGTCGTGCTCTGACCCGCGTGCTGTCAGTGGTTCGGTTCGGGGCAACCGCGATCGGCGCTGGACATTGGGTCGGGAACTGGCCTGCTCTCCCTCATCCTCTCGCACCGCTTGCCCTCGGTACGGTACACCGCCCGCGTCAGTTCGCCACCAGGTGGCGCCACGATCAGCTGATCGGACGGAGGCGCCCGACACCAGCTCGAGTTGGTTCACGGGGTGGAGCTTGACGCCGACGCGTACGAGCAGACCGCGGGCAACTACGACCTCTCGCCATGGCGAGGCAAGATGCGGGCCTTCCACACCTCCTTCCAGGACTACGCCCGAACATTCACACAACC